GGTTGCGCTGAGCTGAAGATTGGTCTCGATGAATTGCATCCTTCAACTGTCAGGCAAAGAATTCATTTTCCATCAGCTAGCTTCTTGTCCTGCAACTCATAAGCATTCGAGTTTAAACTTTTTTCTCTTATGTTTTTCACTATACAAACATGCATGCTTCATATTACGCTATGAATCAAAAATAATTTCAGAACTACTTCAAATAAGTTGATCCAAATTCGGGCCGGAATCCAGCAGAATTACTGCACAAAAGGCTATTAGTATCATTCTGCAAAGCAGAAGGCGCACACCACAAATTAAGTCCTGTTTGGATTTACATGATTCCTATAAAATTTCTGTGTTCCAAATGGGCATAAATTCTTGTCATTAATTTTCATTGAGACCAATCCCTGATACTAATAATGTTCATGTGTTGCAATTGCAACTTGATGTGCATCTCAGACATACTAGCAACTAACTAAAAACTGCACAAGTGGGAGTATAATACAGGCCCTACCCTACCTATCTAATCCCCTACCGCGATTAGGTGTCAGTCACCAATGCAAAGAATAATAATTCCAGCTCCTGCTTCATGATTCTCCTCACATGCGGCTCATCACTCCGAGCAGCCAATGCAATATTGCTTGGATTAAACAATGGGCGCGGCACGGTGGTGATTCTGATTCATCAGAGCAATGAAAGGTTGCACGGGCAGCTGCTACTGCTGCTAGCTGTATTATTCAGGATAGTGAGCTGATGAACCACTGACAACTGATCATTTGTTACTATTTCCAGCGCAGAGTGCTTTGTGCTTAACAAATCCTTGCAGGCTCTGCACCTGTGCCTGTGCACCCAGGGCAGGGAAGCTAGCTGCTTCCAGGCAGCTGCAGCAGCTGCTGAGGTCTGAGGATCACTCTATCGATTCGCAACGGGCTCTGACAAATTGCAATCGTCCAAGATAATAATAAGCATTGTAATTTATATTAGTCGCTGTGATCTGATGCATGGATTAGCTACAAGATTAATTCGTTTTCAGAACCGAAGCAGCTGAAAGGATCAGGTTGGTGTTATCACCGATGCCAACGATTTCAGGCCTCGCGAGTCACCATCGTCGACGCATTTGTAAGAACCTGTTTGCGATAGATACCCACCAGTATATCTTGGACTCGCTCTTGGCATTAGCATCAGCTGCTTGCATTGGCTCGTGTGTACACAAGTGACGGCCAATCCACGTCTGCATGCTTCAATTAACAATAGAATGCCATCTCAGTTCGTCTGAACTCGCATTGTGCAGGTCTGCAACGTACTTATCATATACTATATCCATCGGCCTGAAAAAACATCTCCGTGGCCTTATTGGCTTATTCGACAGTGACAATCCGTTTCAGATGCTTCAGGATGGGACAGGACGCATGGAGAATTCGGCTCGCTGAAACTTGGCTGATTGAATTGGTTGAAAAACACTGTTTTGCCTGAATTGTTGTGAGAGAAAAACACTGTTCCGACTGAAAAAACAAGTTGAATAGTGCAGATTACGAGGTAAGCGAGACAAACGGCGAACCGCACGCCCCGTGAGATTACTGTACGACGATTTTTTTTTAAACGAGAATTAACTCTGCTTTTATGAAAGCAACAGGTAACAACTGTGCGACGAATCGCATCAAATCTCCGTATATTTTGTCATTTTGGCGTTCTTTCAGCAAAAAACTCGTCGGTTGGATTGCAACATGAACAAGCTCCTACAGTAGCTAGCAACTGTGCCAATGGCGTCCGATTGCCGCCACTGTTCCTTTTATTCCTTCTAATTCATCGCAGCTTGCATGCATCCATATGATTGATGGGTTTTATTCGATTCCTGCTGCCATCCACACGTGGAAACACCGCTTTTGCCTCCTCGAGCTCCACGCCCGGCGAGTTCTTTTTCTCTGCATCCCTAATTTATCTGGTAGCTACTAGCAGCAGTTTCTTGCTTTGTTTTTGCGAGATCGAAACTCGTCGCAGGATTAGGGGATCGGTACCATAACCCTGCGTGTTTGCAACCTTTTATTTTAAACGCCCAGCGGGAGGAGTTCACGCCAAAAGACTAGTAGGTTCCACGTACATTCGCGTTTGACGTTGGTGCAAGTGTAAAGTTAACTTGGTTGTGTTTAGTTTGTGAATTTTGAGAATTTGGCTACTGTAGCACTTTCGTTTTTATTTGACAATTAGTGTTTAATCATGGATTAATTAGGCTCAAAACGTTCGTCTCGCAATTTCCAACCAAACTGTGCAATTAGTTTTTTTTTCGTCTACATTTAATGCTCCATGCACGTATCGCAAGATTCGATGTGATGGCTACTGTAGCATTTTTTGGGAAAGTTTTTGGAAACTAAACATGCCCTTTAGTAAGGCTATTTTACTTGAAAAAAACAGTGTTCAAACCTTTTGGAGTTATAACAAGTCTAAAAAAATTCTAGCATAGTATCAAGTTAAATCAACATTTTCTAAATAAGTGTGATTTCTTTTTTTTAATCGTGCCATGGCACGTTTTTTGTTAAGCAGAAGTGAAATGTTTTGTTACAACACCGTGAAGCCACGGTAATCCAAGGTTACCGAAGCCCACAGCTACCGCCCCTCACCTTTCTCGCACGTAGTTATGATTACACAAGGACATTTTTTTTAGCGACTCGAACAGGGAAAAAATAAGTGTTATTTCATTCGTCATGACATATATTTTCATATCATACGTACTTATTTTGTGTTAGAGATATGGATGCTCTTTTTTATAAACTTGGTTAAACTTAAGAAAGACTGACTTGAGATAAAGCCGGAATTTTATATCTTTTCAAGATTGAGGCAGTATATTGCAGTAATAATTGAGAAAATATGTAACCAAGAATTATTTACTAGCTCTCGAAAACCTTGGCAAGGGGATTTTTTTTGAAAAAAAAATGAACATCTAAAGGCTTCTTTGGAATGTGGGAATAGGAAAAGGTAAAAATAAAATGCCATGAAACACAGTAATTAATCTGTAAGATTGAATGTTTGGACAAAGCGTAGGAAAGACAGAGAAATTTGATGAGAGTTTGACACGATGGTAACTTTTGCATGAGATTCAATCTGTTGATAGAATTCCTCTATAGTTCCTATCAAATAAGAAATTCCATAGGAATTTTATAGAATTTATAAGATGCCAATCTTTTATTCCAAAGGGCTTCTTAGAAAATTTTCTTATTGCATTTCAATCATTTAGAATTCCTATTGGTGGTGGGAGTTGATAGAGGTAGTTGCTTGAAAGTTTGTTCTGTTAGTCTTATTATTCCTTTGTTTGAGTTATTGAGAGAATTAAGAGAGGAAATATGTCCTTTGTTTGTTGTGAGTGTTTGAGTGAAAAGTTATATCATAAGTTATGATAAAAGATGCGGATGCATCCATCTTTCATTTGACTAGCGAAAATTGCCCCCTCTCTCCTAAACTCTCATTCCTCATCCCATCAAAAGTTTCACTCCCACCAAACAATTGACATATTTAGATTTTAGAAACCTATATCTCTAAACTCCTATTTCCTCCACCAATTATCTTGAACCAAATGGACTGCGGAGGTAGAAAGATGAACCCAAGTCACTGAATCTTGAAGTAATGGCATTAGTAATGTTTGAGGCCGATATCGGTCATAAAATGGGTGCCATTGAGCATGAGGCTATCCATGTTATGTTTAAGATTGGGACCGGTCTTTAGGTGGGTAAGTCGTACCACTTCCTCAAACCTTTTTAAAAAAAAGACCCTCACGCCTCTTCTTCCCCACTACCGCATCCGTCTGCCTCCCTTGCCTTCCCTTGTTCCCAGCATCCCTAGCGCCTTAAGCGGGAACTGTCGCTCACCTGCTACTTCCTCGGTGATGTCAGGGGCCATGGCACAATCCATGGCATTGCGCATAGGTGGTGACATGTCAAGGAAGACAATAAAGTCGTAGTCAGGGGAGACGACGAGCCAGAGTTGCCTCCTTATCCAGCGATCGGTCAGCGATGGCGGGGTCAGGGGGTTCGACGAAGACAACGAAGCCAAGGGCTGCCTCTTCCTCAGTGCTCGATGAACATTGCCAATGACACCAAGCAAAAACATTTATAAAGCCGGGTCTTATGGTTGAGGCTTGTCCTCTATCTCTTTGTGCTAAGGTTGCCCCTAAGGTGAGTGCGCAACATATCGTCGATCCTAAATTCCTTAAGACCTTATTTTCAAGACTGTAGCAGTAAGATGTTCGAGGGTGATACATACGTCCCTAATAATAATCACTTTTTCTATACAACAGTCGCCTGAATTCTGTGCTTTCTTCAAACAACGTGTCGCTCGCTGATATAGCTTCAAGATTTGTGCGTCTTTGAATCTAAGGGCTGATAACTGTTACCTGAAAAGAAGCAATATTTGAGGCACCTGAAATATAACAGGTCCCAATAATAACATACTAAGGGCCTGTTTGGCAGGGCTCTGGCTCCTCTGAAAATGGCTCCGACTCTGGCTCCTCTGAAAGAGCAGCTCCTCTAGAGGAGCTGAAGCCGTTCTGAAAACCGTTTGGCAAAACGGCTCCTTCGCACTAGACGACGTGAACCCACAGCAAGGAGCCGCGCGAAAGCTCGTTTTTGAGGCTTCTCCTGCGCAGGCAAAAAATAGCTCTGGCTCTTGACCGGCTCTCCATGTGGAGCTCTTTCCAAAACAGGCATTTAGCATAGCTTCTGTAGGAGCCGGAGCTGAAGCCCTTGTCAAGAGGCTCTAAAACTAAAACAACTTGTTAGATGCACAACAAGACAATTTTAAAAGCAGAAGCGTGCTGTCAGTGTTTCCCTAGCCGCGCCTCCTATATCTTCCCTGCAAACCCTCCTCGCCTCTCCATTAGTTAGCTATAGTGCCTCCATTGCACGGTTGCTCCTGCTCGCTATTCTTAGCCCAGAGAGCGCGCCACCACAACACGTCCCGGCCGCGCGCTGCGTGCAGACACACGGCTGCCCCGGCCCGCGCACCCGTACGTGCCGTGCCGGCCAGCAGCCATGGACATCGACCTCGACCGGGCGCGCGCGCTTCGCGTCCTCGGCCGCGGCGCCATGGGCACCGTGTTCCTCGTCGCGGAGGCGGGCCCCTCGGCCTCGCGCCCCAGCCGGTACGCCCTCAAGGTCTTCGACAAGCGCTCCGGCAGCAGCAAGCCCGACGCCGACCGCCGCGCGCGGTGGGAGATCAACGTGCTGTCCCGCCTCGCGCACCCGCACCTCCCCTCCCTCCTCGGCTTCACCGAGACGGACGACCTCCTCGCGTGGGCCGTCCCGTACTGCTCCGGCGGCGACCTCAACGAGCTCCGCTACTCGCTCCCCGACCGCGTCTTCTCCCCCGCGGCCATCCGCTTCTACATTGCCGAGATCGTCTCCGCGGTCGCCGAGCTCCACGCCGCGGGCGTCGTGTACCGCGACCTCAAGCCCGAGAACGTGCTCCTCCGCGCCGACGGCCACGTCACGCTCACCGACTTCGACCTGTCCCGCCTCCTCAATCCCAGGTCTGCGGACTCGCCGCCGCCTCCGCCGCCGGCGTCATCCCGCGGCCACAACAACCGCCGGTCGCGCGTCCCCGTGCGGAGCGACTCGGTTCTCGGCCAGGCCAAGTCGTACTCCAACTCCAACTCCAAGCCCCTCATCAGCCGTGGTCCGCGGCGGCGTCGCCGCGGCAGCAGCTCCAGAGCCTGGTCCGGTACATCATGGGCAGCGGCGGCGACGGAGCCGGGGTGGGCAGCAGGAAGAGCAAGTCGGCGCGGGTGTCGCCCGTGAGCCGGAAGCCCGCGAGCTTCGGCGGCTGCGGCTCGGGCGCGTCGGCCGCCGCCGCCGCGTGGGGCAAGTCCTACTCCTTCGTGGGCACGGAGGAGTACGTGGCGCCGGAGATGGTGCGCGGCGAGGGCACTGCTTCGCCGTCGACTGGTGGGCCGTCGGCGTGCTGGTCTACGAGATGGCGTTCGGGCGGACGCCGTTCAAGGGCAGAACCGCAAGGAGACGTTCCGGAACGTGCTGCAGAAGGAGCTCGAGTTCCCGGGCGACAGCTGCGACGGACACGGAGCTCGCAGACCTCATCTCGGGCCTGCTGGAGCGGGACCCGAGGAGGAGGCTCGGGTACGCAGGCGGCGCCGACGAGATCCGCGCCCACCCGTTCTTCGCCGGCGTGGCGTGGGACATGCTCATGGAGGTGTGCCGGCCGCCCTACATCCCGCCGCCGGCCGACGAGGACCTCGCGGACGGCGCCGAGGGGTTCGACGTGAGGGGCCACTTCAAGGACCTTCACCAGCCACCGCCGACGAAGTCTGCGTCGGAGTCGTCCTCGTCGGACTTCTCGACGGAGTTCTGAGCTCTGACGGACTAGCTCCTTTTGCGCTTTGGTCCTCAGTAGATTACTGTATTGTAACCAAAGGATCGAGGGTGCATACATGGAGGCGGGGATGGTGCTGTAAATTCGAGGTAGAGTCGGTGGGGTTGTGCAAACATTTTAGGAAGGGCTGGCTGGCGCACGTGTGGGCTGCGCTCGAGGCATTTTTCTTCGTGTGATTTTTTCGCTTGGCTTGCAAGCGACGATGACCTGATTACCGAAGAAAAAGAAGGATAACGTGACCTGGGCAATTTTACTGCTTGTTTACTCCTACAGCGTACACGCAATGATGAATTCACGAGAGAATTCTGATGCGAATTAAAGTAGTGTAGTTCTTGTTTCATAGACCGGGCAATGTGCAGTGCTCTGATCATCATAATACACAATCTTTAGTTGAGAGCTACTACTACAGAAATTTTAACTAAGGCGGACATTTTTGCTTAACCGAGGCGAGCAAGCTAACCGCCTCGGCGCAAAGGTCACGGTTAATCGTGGCCTTAACCAAGGCAGTTGGCCAACCGCCTCAGTTAATAGATTAACCGTGGCGGGCATCATAAGCTAACCGTCTCAGTTAATACATGTTAACCGAGGTGGTTGTCGAAACGTGCCCGCCTCGCTTAAGATTTTAACCGAGACGGTTGAATAAAGACGCCCGCCTCGGTTAAGATTTTAACCGAGGCGGTTTTTATTACTTGGCCGCCTCGGTTAATGATTTCTAGATTTAAAAAAAGCTTTTTTAAATTAGAATTTAAATTAGAATTTAAATTTTCGCTAATGAAAACACAGATAAAGCAGAAAATAGATGACAAACATATATTACATTCATTCTCGTTGGATGAACCGACATTAAATTATTACATTAGTGTTGTCTTCATCATTATTTCACAAACACAAATCATTCGTATATCAACAACTAAGGTCATTCATACATATCATTTTTTAGCAGAAAAGAGGTCCGACAGAATGTAATCCGAGATTCGTAACTTGGTGCTCTAGTTTCTGATCCTCTCGAACTTTGGATCCCGCGCTAACTCGCTTTTCCAGTTGAAGAACGTATTCCCTTCATCAGCGCTCTGTGACAAACTTACATATGTCTACTACTATTTGTCTGAAGTCTTGGTCGACCTTCTCCCTTCGCCACCATCCTTGTGCTTTCTTGTGCTGCCGCCAGCTGCCGCTGAATCTGCTGCACGTCCTCAGGTACTCGCAAACGTAGAATCCATATAGAACTGAGCCATAGGGTTGTTTAGCTATTGCACGATGTATAATACACAATCATTAGAGCATATATAATAAACAATCAGTAGTAGTAGTAGAACTAGTAGTAGTGAGTAGAGTAGAGTAGTAGTAGGAGGAGTAGTAGTAGGAGTACTAGAGTAGAGTAGAGTAGTAGGTGTAGTATTAGGAGAAGAGCAGTAGTAGTAGTAGGGTAGTAATATTATTGGTACTTACCGGGAACTCACGTCTGAGTTTTAGTTTCATGTCATTCTTGATCTTCCTTTTCTCAGATCTTCGATCATAGCAGTCGGGATCTTTCACGTACTTCTTATAAGCGTTGTACAAAAAATAACTAGTGTCAATGATATTTTCAACAAGTATGTTAACTGTAAATGAATAAGTTTCGTCACTATCTCAAACAGCTTTCAAATTGCTTATACCCTACTTTGTTTGTATCGTGCAAAGAGTCAAATATACAGGCCCTTCCATCCTAAGGATAGATTATAAATGCAATCCAATGGCCCAAGATGCCCTGGCTGCACCATTCACACAATACAGATTAGAAATGTTTAAATATGAGAAGTCATGATCCCAGTACCTATATATATGTTCCAAGTATCTTTTGGACTTACCCGAACTGTTGGGCGGCCATGATGCATCCATTTCCCTAGACCTTCTTCATGGCCTCATAGATGTACATTCCCGCCCGATACTTATATTCGATTACCAGATCTTCCCTGTATTTCTTTCTTTTCTCTGGGTTCAAGTTCACCAGCTTTTCATGAGTGTCTGGTATATCATAACCCATGATTGTTCTCTCTGTAATAAGCATCGGAGAGAGAGAGATAATATCCTTACCTAATTCCTTGCTTACATACGCCTGCATCCTGCAAGGAAAAGTCATCATGACATTATTAGTTTGTTCCTGAAGTACCTACAACGATACAGTAGTGTCAAAGTCATAAGTAACTTACAGGGCAAATAAGGTGACTTGGGCGACGTCAAGGTCTTTTCACTGCAGTAGTCTATGCATGTCGTGGAAATCTACGATGAATTCACCATTCGTGGGCGTGTGGAAGTACTCCACCGGAATGTTGATGACGAAGTTTTCTAGGCCCACTTTCGCTGCTTCCATGTACCACAGATGGAACCTCCTTACATCCCACTTCTCTTCAAGGAGGTCGCCCAAGGCCAACATGAACTTCCCATGCACGTAGTTTTTGGGGCAATCATCCGACCAGGGCCAAAACGACAACGGTGTTTTTGTCCTGCAACACCGGGGCTTAAGACGTTAGGGAGTAGAAACAGTAGATAGCATCTCAAAATGAATTATAGATTGACTATGCTTGCTAGTAGCATACCTTTCAAACGTAGTTGAGTATGGGTGCTCATCGGCTATTTGATAGGCCACCCAACTCGACTTGGTGTGGTTCAGGGGCATGGCCTCCTCTTCATCTGTAGGCTTCCTCGGTGGGGGAGGACATTGGTTTGAGCACTGCTTCGAACCACTTGTAGGTGGTGGTGTCACATCACCCGATGCTACCCCTGTGCTTCCCTGTGGATTGCTATTGCTAGGAGGCGGACTGCCTGGAGGACTACTACCTGGGCCGCCAGCATTGTCATTGTCATCGTCGCCGTGTCGTCGTCACCCGGGGGAGACGACGACGGGTGTGAGGGATATGACACTGGCGTCGGCATGTCCAAGACAATGTTGCTCTTGTTCCATAACATGCGCATGCCGATAGTAGCGCCGATGAACCTGTACCACTCTTCAGTGGGAATGTCGATTTCATCCTTGTCAAAATCTTTGTTGGTCCTCGTCATGTCGACCCGGGCATAGTTGGGCGGGATTGGCTTGACGTCGTACATGGCGCCGCTTTCAGGCGGCAGTGCCACTCCCGTGGCCACATCCTTCTTCCTCTGTGCCCTGTCGAAGGGCACTTGGAGTGTGCAGCTCGTTGGTTCAATGATGTCATTGACCGGATACCTGGGGAGTTGTCCGGTCTACGGCACCATCTGCCCTTGTACGGTGGCTTGACCATGTGGTAGCAGCACGCCAGCTTGGTGAAACATATGCGTCCTCAGCTCCACCATCTTGGGGTCGGTGCTCGTGAAAGCGTCTTATATCTTCCCCATGATCATGTCCTTGATTGCCTCATCACGGCCTTTCTAGAGGAGCCCTTCCTTGTACCTCTGCCTCATGTGGTAAGACTTGGCATCAGATTGCCAGGTCTCCACGTCCTTCTAGCTCTGCCTCGAGGAAACCCCACAGACATGGCCGTGGTGCTCGGGGTTTCCCAGCGCCTCAGTTAGTACGTCCCTCTCTCGACGAGATTCGAAGGACCGGCTCTTCTCGGCCACAGAGACCTCCAAGATCCTCTTCACCACCTCCTCGACCTTTGGCTCGTTGCACTTGGTCCTGCCCTCCTTTAGCTTTTTTTGGCTTGTGGGCATAGAGGTAGTTACATGACCTCTCATCGATGCCCTGTAATGGATTTGGCTGCCCAGCCTTAGCGGCCTCCCTTTCTTCTTGCCGCCACTTCTCCATCTTTGCGGCGTACCCTATCATGCCTAGGTGGTGGTGGAGCTCATTCCACTTTGTGAGTTTAGAGAACTTCTCGCCCTTGGCCTTTGCTTCTTCGGTCGATTGTTTCACGACGAACTCTTCCCAGACGTCACACGTAATGAAGTTGTAGTCTTCGAATGGTGTCCTCACTTTCTACATGTACTCCCTATTGAGCATGGACCTGAAGTTGTGAAGCGCTTTGCCTACAACAAAAGTGCTTGCCCCATGCACTTGTCTTCATCATAGCCCTCCGCTGGATATGTGAACCGCCTCTTCACCTCTCCCCACACATTTCCCTTGATGTCCTTTGGGACTTTCCTCCAATCATCATATGTTATAGGCACCTTATCCCTAACTATACAGGAACACTAGTTGCCGAAGGTGCCGATGATGATAGTTGGCTCCAAGGGCTCTCCTTTTGTCCCTAGCTTGTGTATCGCACGCACTTTCTTCTTGCTAATCTGATGCCTCCCGTGTTGGCCCCTCTTCAAGTTTGTCTTCTTCTTGCTACTCGTCGTTGCGGTTGAAGAAGTGCCCGAGGAGGGACCGGGTGCTTCCTCCTCCTCCCCTTCTTTACCATCAGGGTACTCCAAATGAAGAGCACCATCGGTATTAGTCGAGGACAAGAACTTGCATTAGTTATATACTTGCGTGAGGCCCACGAACATTGTGTCAATTAACGTGTGGCAGAACCGCCCAAAATAGCACGCTTCCGAAGGCGCTCGTCTTTCACTAGACACTAAGCACCCTGAAAGCTAGCTACATCGGATGGTTTCATCGAGCACACCCCAAGGGAGAACTCGAACAATCCACATTTTTCCTCTGGGGTCCAATAATGAGAACGAGTTTACATTACTTAGTCCATTTCATACTACAAAAGTTCTCAAAAATACATTATTACAATACCAAGTTCGGAGTGCGGAATTTAAACAGTGGAATTAAAATAAACATCTAACGGTGAGATACAATGATCCATCTGTGCCCACCAGAAGAATCCTCCACACAATAGTCATTTCTCAAGCTGCACCTGCAATAGGGGTAACAAACCCTGAGTACACAATGTACTCACAAGACTTACCTGACTAGTGAGAATACTTTCCTAACTCCAAAGGATATGATAAGCTTTATGGTTTGCTGGGTTTCCTTTTTGCAAAAAGCATTACTAGTTGTGCATCCTTATGTATGTTTCTTATTAGCA